ATTTTAATTGTTTTTTTTCTTTAAAGTTCAAGTATTTTAATCATTATTGGCTTGGACCACCCTGCAATAAATGTCTGTGCACACCTATGGTCAAAATTCCTGTCTTATTATTTTTAAACTGAATGTTTATGGGTATTGATGTTAAAACAATTCAAACTTGTTCACCTCTGTATGTGGTAATTTATTTTTAAAATTTTTTTGAAAATAATACTTTTGGATTAAAGTAAAGGTTGAGAAAATGGCACCTTATTGATTAGACATATCATATTTGGTTTTAGTTAACATTAAATTTGTGTTTATTTTGTTTCAGTAGTTAATGAAGATTTACTTGAATTCCATCCAATGTGTGGTGCACATACTCTAGTCATTAATAATAATACTGTAGCTTACAGACCAAAGTAAGAAGTTTATGACTATTAATGAGCTCATTCATTAATTATTTTAATTTTAGCGCATTAGATGATTTTAATAATGGTGTTGTGTTAACCAAACGACCACTGCGTTTAAATGAATTATTTGAAGTACGTTTGGATCGTTTAGTCACTAAATGGGCAGGATCAATAGAAATTGGTGTAACAACACATAGTCCAGGAGATATTGACTATCCTTTAACTATGACAAATGTACATTCTGGTACTTGGATGATGACTGGTGTAGGAATAATGCATAATGGCATTACTGTTATCAATCAATATGGAGTGAATTTAGATACATTAAGGGTAGGAGATCGTGTTGGTGCTATGGTCAAATCAAATGGCTCTTTATACTTTTATGTAAATGGCATAGACCAAGGAGAAGCTGCTAAAAATATACCAGCAGGAGTATACGGTGTTGTTGATTTATATGGACAGGCAGCACAAATTACTTTATGTCGTGATAATGTTGATCAAATTTCTCCATACAAGTATGTAGTATTTTATAAACTATATCAATAATCCATATTAATTATTTTTATTGAATATCATAGAAATAATGTAAGATTCTTTCCTAATCATGGAAAAAATGCACGTATAGTTCCTGGGTCACGTGGTCGTACAGCTGACAGGTTGTATTGTGAATATGAATTTAGTCAGTCAATTGTTCTAGTCAATCAAATGTTGCAAGATGGTGAATTATTTTCTGTTAGTGTGGATAAACTTAATGATAGATGGTCAGGCTCAATAGAAGTTGGTAAGTATATTAGTATATTATTGAAAAAATAGATAATATAAAATGTTTTTTAGGTGTTACTACCATTCTTCCAAACATCTTATCTGCTGATCTACCAAATACTATGACAGATTTAGATCATGACACTTGGGTTTTATCCGGGTGTACAGTAATGAAAGATGGTTTAGCAATTAAATATAATTATTCACTGGATTTGGACAAAGTTAAAGTTGGTTCGGTTGTTGGTGTAATGAGACATAACAATGGTTGTTTGAATTATTTTTTGGATGGAAATGATCAAGGGGTAGCTTGTACTAATGTACCACCAAATTTATATCCAGTGATTGATATATATGGTCGATGCACTCAAGTTACTATTCAAAGTCCACCAGAAATTAGATGTGATGATACTGATTCAGACACAAGTTGTTGCTCACAGGATGATGCAATATCAGTTCAGACTGAAACTGGAGTTAAAGGACAAAAGTATGATGAATTATCTATAATATTTATAATAAGTAATGTTGATTTTATGTTTTATATTTTAGAGATATTAATTTAGCTGAATACCTGTATGGAGAGAACATAAAATTAATCGAAGATAATAGGACAGCCATTCGAGTAAAATCTTTCAAAGGGGGCCTCTTAATATGTGATAATAAGATGCAGCCCAATGAATTATTTCAAATATTAATAGTAAAATGTAATACAAATTATGCAGGAAGTATGCGAATTGGTGTTGTTAGTTCTCTGCCAGAAACTCCATTGCCATCTAGTATCAAAGATTTAAATATGAAAGAAGATGTGTGGTATTTTTCTGGTATGTCAATTAATTGTATTGTTTTAATTACAAAATTAAAATAATGAATTTTTTCTAGGTAACCAAGTATGGTACAATCAATCATTAATCATGAACAACTATTGTCCAAGTTTAGATAGACTGAGAGAAGGTGATAGAGTTGGTATTAAGTATACAGCAGATCGAACATTACATTTGTTTGTAAATGGGTATGATCAAGGAACTGCTGTATATAATGTACCTGAGGTAACTTTTAAAGTTTTTATACTAATTTTGGTACTGTAATATTCCCTAAGATAAGCGAGTGTTCTATAGAAATTGTATGATTATTTTAAAAATTGATAGAGACAAATATTTTTTTACACTTCTTATCTATATGACCACCCACTGATTATGTGAACTCGCCCTCAAATAATTCCTACTTTAATAAAAGTATAGCTGCCCTATCCATCATTCCTTAAAGTATCAAAAATAACCTTTCAAATATTCTTTTACCATGCATAATTCACTGAGAATTTTTATTTAATATCATGAGTCAAGTACAATAGATTCTTATTATGACAAATGTTGATATATTATTTTTTTTATTATCTTAAACTAAATTGAAATCTCCTGAAACTATTATTACAATAAGACTCCATACTTTGAATTTTTATTTATCTCAAACTTTTTTCTGTTCCTCTTGAGATTGACACAATGAAAGTTTAGTGTACTTTATGTATATATCTTAATAATAAATATAATTATATAAACTTGATATTAGGTTATTTATGGTGTAATTGATTTGTACGGTTGTCATACTTCGGCTAAAGTAATACATACGGATCAAGATTCTAAGACAAATGTGCAAATGATTTCTTCGCAGTGTAGTGAAAATACGTCAGACATATCTGAATCAGTTAAAGTGTGAGAATTAAATTCTCTAAAATTTAAATCTAAATTAGTGTTGTATATATTTTTAATTAACTGTTTAATTTTAGAGACACTACAATCAATGTTCTGAAAAGAATGACTGTCTTAGACGAAGATATGAGTGAATGCTGTTCATCAGAAATCAGTTATTTTATAGATGAGGTAAAATTGTATAAAATATTAATATTAAAAAAATAAAATATTTTGTAATTGTTTACAGTCTACATTTAAATTAATGAAATTTAATGATTGGCGAGGTCGCAATGTACGTTTATCACGTGATGGCCGTACAGCAACCAGAATAGAAAGTTATAATTACGGGTTAACAATGACACCAGATATTTTACTACCAAACTCTATATTCCAAGTATGCATATTTTTAAATTTCCAAATATTTATAATAATAATTGATTAATTATATTATTAAATGTTATGATTGATATTGGTTTACAGGTCGAAATTCAAGCATTAAATAAAAAGTGGGAGTCATCATTAATGATAGGCGTATCCAAGATAACATGTACAAATAATTCTGCACCAGCAACAGCATTATCTTTAAAAGGATATGATAGTACATGGATAATTTCTGGCGATTCTGTTTATTTTGATGGCCTTAAAGTAATTATCTTCTACATAACTATAATTTTTTAAGTATATATGTATATATGTATTTATTTGTTATTAGATTAAAAGTAATTACGGCCCAGATTTGAATTATTGTTTACCAGGAGATATCATTGGAATTATGATTGATGGAGAAAATTGTTTAAAATTGTTTGTTAATCGTATTGATTTTGGAATAGCTGCATCTAACATTCCAGCCGATTGTTATGGTATTGTTGACTTGTATGGGCAGTGTGAACAGGTAACATACATATTATTATTTATTGCTTTAAATTTTACTAAAAAATTGTATCAACCTACTTAGGTATCCATTGTAAATCCCTTTATTGATTTGTCGCCTGTTGATCCTGTCCCAAATATGCCTTTGGAATGTGACTTATTACCGGAGGACTCTAGTCAACCAATACCATCTGAAGAGAAAGCTGACTTTGAAGGTGATGAAAAACAAAGTCCAGTATGCGAAGAAACCGAATTGGCGGATTTAACTTGGATGAAAACAGATAAGACAAATGAAAATGTTTTGGTAGCAAGCGGCCATGATGTTAGATCTCGTTCAGCTGAACTGGCTGGATGGATAGACGAGGAAGCAAGTACGTCTACACTAAGTATGTCAAAAATTCGTGCAGGAAAAACATCTGGTTATTATACTCCAGATACAAGAGAAAGAAGACAAAATGAAATATTAAAATCTATTCGTCTCAAACATTGTCAATATTTTAATTTATCATTAAAAATTAGAACTTATCTTAGTATTCCAGGTTAGTTTAAACTTAATAGCGAGAAAGAAGAGTTTGAGAATGAATTTTACTATTAATTTTTTCAGATGTATTTTTCTTAGAAAAAGGTCATACATGCTATTGTGAAGGATGTAATTTGTACACATGTGATGAAAATAAATTATCTATTGAAACGGGTTGGTGCAAATTTTTACTCCGAAAACATCCAAAATTCAATAATTTACTTTTGGATAAATGGCGATCAGCATATATAGGAAGTTCATTTGACATGATTCGTAACTGTTTGGATAATGGAACTTTAACTGTTCTAGGTAAGACTTGTTTCAAAAATTTTTGAAAGTTAATTTTAATATTTATATTTTATAATGTTTTTAACAGATACTGATCCTGAGGACATTATACTTTACCCATACTTGAAACGTACAGTATGTTGTCAAAATATAAAACCTTTTGGGTAAGTCAATATTTTCTATAACTGCTGTGAAAAGTTATTGTAATCATTGTTTGTTTTATCAGATATTATGATCTTGAAACCAATAACCAGTATAAGTGCCATGCAGCTTTTGAGTTGATGATTGAACAAGGTTCATTTGAAATTGGTGAATTGTTGCCAAAAACAAGCAGAACTGATTGTCATCAGATTTCATCACTAGTAATTCCAAAAATTGGCACCAAAACAATACTCACAGCTCTTTATTTTAGATTTGATAGAGATATAAATTAACTTAAATTAGAAAAAATATTGAATAGGTTTAATGAACTTAAAGACTTTGATCTCATTTATTTTTATTATTTTTTATTTTTTTTTTCAATGTTTATAAGGAACAATTATTATTAAAACACTCATTACATCACTTTAAAATGTCTGGTAACATTCTCATTTAATATGTTGTTCTGTTTTATACTAACATATTTTGGATTTTGTGTACCTTCTGTATAAAATGTGTACGGCAAATTAACATTACCAAGTCTGAACTGATTGACGTGTTTTAATATATCTGGTGTTACAGGAGTAGTTATAAATATATCACCTGTAGATTTATTTACACTACGAACAACACCTAAAATAAATTAAATAATTATATTCAACTTTTGTTCATTATTGAAATCTATAATAACATAAAATACACACCAAATCCAACACATTCGCATAAGTTTGTATGGTTGACCACACACAGAGCAATGACATTAGCATTTATTATATCTAAGGATTCATCTTGAGTTAATTCATCAACATCCTTAATTTGGACATTTATATTACGGATGTTAATTCTGTAAATTAAATGTTATTATAATATGTTTATTATTTAAGTCAAAATAATTAATACCTATAAGGGATTATATCATTAAAATAAATATCTGTACTTTCCAAACATTTACTGAAGTATGATGCCGTAATCAATTGTTGTTTAATGTTCTTGTTAACATTTCTAAAAGGACAAATGTTAGAACAATTTAAAAAAGAAATTTTCATTACGTAATACTTACGGTAAATAAGGTGCCTTAGCAAATTTATTTTTAACAGTAGACGTAAAATACCAAAGATTGTATGACAAAGAAGATCTTGTACTGTCATTTATAATTTCTGAATGCAAATTTAAATCTTGATAATCATTGAACTTAAGCTGTACTACATCAGATGGTTTAGTTTTAGATACAATATTATGTAAGATTTTGAGGCCTGCTCCTAAAAGTAAATAAAAAAAAAAAAAATCATTTAACTTTTTATCCATGTTTTTTTTTCATATTATAATTTAAATTTAAATTCTACCTTCAACAAATCCCATGGTATTTATAAAACATGGCATTTGTTGCAAATCATTTGTTTTGGTATCGTTGACAATTTTTTTAACAATTTCATTGTAAAGTGGTACATTGGTCATAACATCATTGCTTTCAAAAAAATATGATCTATAACCATACATTTTTTATAATTTTTCTTTAGAGTACAATTTAAATAATTTTTATTGAAAGGTTCATTAAGTTAAACCAATTCAGCAATAATTAAAATTACTTTAAGGGTTGCATTAAATGTGTATAATTTGGCCCAAGCAGTGGTTTATCAATAACAAATGCTGAAATACATCCAGGTATGGAAAATTCACTTTGTCCAATATCGAAGTCCAATACTAATATTCTGTTCCATTTGCTAAGACATTTGTTTATGAAATAACACATCATTGTCGATTTTCCAGAATTCTTGTATCCCGCCAACAAAACTTTAATTGGTCCTGTTATCAAAATAAAAATGAATTATGAATAAGGTTGAATATTAGAGCATAAAACCAACCTAAATTAATAGGACGATTGAGAAGTTCATCACAGAAAGCTTGACTTTGTTCATCGATTATAAGTCTTTGGTTTGACATTGGAGTTTTGCTCAAATCAAACCAACAATCTAATCGTTCTTCTAGTTCTAGTAAAAGTTTAGGTGGAGTCAATCTAGTTCCGTTTGAGTTAAACATGTTAAAATCTAAAAAATAATTGAAAGGTTAATACTATTAATTTTAATTTTAATTTTCAACATACTGGGAACATATTTATTCATAAATGTTTTCCATTTGCTGGTTTGACTGCTCTTTTCAAGTACAATAACTGCTTTCTGCCTGTTGGCCGATGAAATAGAAATCAATCCGTGTAATCCCAAAGAGTACAATACAGTTTTTGGAGTGTCCACGGTCATTGTGTAACCCCATGTTTCTATCTTTCCTTCTAAAACACTAACATCGACAGTTCCGATAATGTACAAAATGTCATCGCCGTTGAACTCGATTAAGACTTTTTCAGATGAATTGGATTCATAAAATATGGGCAAAGTATCAGGTAATTGAAATATTTCTTTCATTTTAATTTCTTAATCGTTCAACCTAATTAGTAATAACTTGGCAAATATACTTAACTAAGTAAACTATGAACAATAATAAGTCACTGATAACTATAAACAGTATAAACTACTAAATACTAAATAGTGAGTACTAAGTATAACCACGATATTATCACGAATTCAAAATACAATTAACACATTATCATTAAATACAATTTTCATGTAACATGACTCGTGCCGTTAAATATCAATAGTACCTATATATTATAATATTATGGTTTGTATCAGATTACTCTATAATCTATGGGTTGATTACACCTGTTATCATAAAGTACTATTTGTCAAAGGCTGTGTAAGTTGCTTAACTTGAATATTATCTTAAAACTTGAACACAAATTTTACACAGATTATACTTTGTGGCTCCGAAATCCGAAATGTCCATAAGTAAACAATCTAATTGCGGTCTACTTTATATTTTATAATTAGCTACTATAAGCCTATTAAACGTGTTTATTGTGTAACATTTGATAAGTTGTCAAGGAATAAGCCGTGTTTATTTTGCTTTAATGAATTATAGCTACATGGGAGTTTACTGACTGTTGAAGATAAAACGATTTTTTATTTACATCCATAATGTGTAAATACTGGACCTTTTCATTTTTTGTCACTATTTAAAACTAAAAATAATTATTATCATGGACAATTTATGCAACGAAGTTATTATAAAAGTAAAAGTAAGTTTTCCGTGTTATAATAATTTTAATTTTCTTATTATGAAGTATTACTTAGGGAGTTCCTAAGTGCGTTCCAAGAAAAAGTCATATTTTTGATATAGCCCTAGTGTGTCCTAGTTCATTTGGAGTTGCCCAGGGTGCACCACAAGGAGATGAACTGGCTTACACCTCTGATATTTCTTGATTTTTATTTATGATAATATATTTTATTTTAGTTTACACTCGTGACTGGTCCAATGAGTGATCTACCGATAAATTGCTATCTATGATAAAGCGTTATAGGTAGAATGTATGATCTACTGAAAACATATCTATATTTTACTCTATAGTGCTATACCTAAATAATTATCGATATATGGATTTTACAACTGTATTGTATTTTTAAAATACATTATTTAAACATTCAGTTACCATTTAACGTTCATTTCTGTCATTTAAACTGTAAATCATACTGAAAATTTTGTGGATCCAAATACTGGAGCTCATACTCAAATAATAGAGTCGTTATGGAAGTTAGTCAAGTCTAAGTGTAATATTAAAGTTAATGGTGCATCTTCACTATTAGACCGCCAAATTAAAAAAGAATGGGGGCGGTCATACCACTCAGTACAAACTCAAATATTTGATATTTTTTATCAGATTTAAAAAATACTTTTGCAGTATGAATATAATATATATTTAATAGTTAATCACACATTGGACCAGCAATTTATTGGTAAACCACACATTTGACTGATCCCTTTTTTTCTTGGTTTATCTGTGGTTTAAATGCCATTCTTTTGACAAAATCTAGTCTTAATATTTTATTATTTTAAAATTGATTTATATTCTCTTCGATGTATGAAATTTTCTCGCATGTAGACACTTAGTACTGTACTCGTGCTAATAAATATAATTTGTTAATAATACTTGGTACGCAAAGGGAAAATTTTAAATTATGACGCATTTGGAATATTGCCATTACTTAATAGACTAGTAAACTGTTTCTTGTAAAATATCACAGATAGGTATACTAAAGATTTTCAAGGGCGAAATTAAAGTGTATCAATGTATATTTGTTCAAATTTAACATTTTAAGAAGTTACAAAATACTTATACTATTGAAACATACAGATCCATGTCAGATTCAGACTGTGATATGAGTTTGTATTTACTTCTTTTAGAGTATATCAAATTTTTCTTGAAACTCTTGATCTTAACATTTTATATTTATTAGAACAGATTCAAAAAATATATGTGTTTGATATCTTTAAAAATATTTATATATTGAATATGAATTCATAAAATTGGTTTTAAATAATAAAGCTTTTTAGTAATTGAAAAATAACAAGTTTTGTCTAGTAGTATTCTATGCCTAAATTAAATCTTGGTAAAAATCTCAAATTAAATTGATACATTATCATGTAATTTATTTTTTATAGGAAGCAATACGAGCGAAACTCAAAGAAATGAATGCAAATAGCAGTAAGTAATAATTATTATTGAAAGGTATTTATATTTATATTCATATTTTCATATTTCAAAATTAATGAAATTATTAGAATAAATAACAAATCCATTTCTTTGTTAATATTTATCAAAAGTTATATTTACTATCAAAAATTGTAATAAATTATTAATATTTTATATTATTTTATATCACAATATAAATTTTGGTACAGTAGAACATTTGCTCTAAAATTAAAAAAAAAAAAAAAAATTTGAAGATGCAAATGTTATTATTATTTATCTAATTTTTCATTTCTAAGACAGATTTAATTTCCAAATATTTTCATAAATATATTTAATTATAGATATATATTTCTGATTATTGTCTATTTGAAATAATGAAAAAAATAATAATTAATGTTTAAATGAGTATTATTATAATCATAATTATTAAAAATTTTTTTTGTAATCTGATAAATTACTGTATTAGGTATAATTCAACAAAATACTTGATATCTATTTGATACAATAAAATGTATTATTATTATAATAAATAACAAACATTTAGTATTGTTTAAAATAAATTAAGGAAAAATATAACTTAAAATAAAAATAACAATCAAATTATTTTCTAAATAAAATATGATTACCTAATAATTAACAAAAAATATGTTCCAACATAAAACTGTTATATTTAAAAAAAATATATTTAATTTCTGATTGTTTTGTTCTTATAAACATACTTTTTAAGCCTTTATTCATATATTTTTAATATTACTTTTTACTGTTTCAAATATACAATGAACAGAAGTATACACCTATTATTTAATATATTTATAAACATTTATTTTATCTTAAATAAAATGCTTGATAAAATGAGACGTTTGACAAAAAAAAAAAAAAAATAATAAAATAAAATATTTTACATGTTAATAAGTTTTTAATATTAATGGAGAGAAATGTCTTACTAGGCACACCAGAAATAGCAAGAGGAGAAATTTTCCATTTACTTGTAATATTGAATATATTACAAACTACCTATATAATCTTAATTATAAAGTACTAAATTTGTAATAGTCTAATACCATTTTGTGTAAAATGTTTCAAAATTTAATGAATTAGTTATGAACTCTTATGGTCCCTTAAATTTTAATTTATTTTATTTTTGTAATGTATTAAATATTTTTTTCTGTTATTAGCTTTCAACTTTTAATTTTTAATTTGTCAGAAAATGTATACATTATTTATATTATTTATTTATGTTTTTAGATTAGGCGTTTTAAATAATTTTTTTTAATGTTTTAGGCGATGAGATAATTGATTATATTATGCTGTTAGTCACTACTAAAAAATCTAGTTGCGAGTTAGCTAAAAGTATTGATTTTGTGATGGAGAGTAATACAACTGTTTTTGTGAAGTGGTTGTCAACAATTATCAAAAAATTGCAACAAGTAACTGTTAGTACAACAAAACAAATTTTATCAGGTAATTTAAATAACTTAGAAATTATTATTTGTTTTATATTTTTGAATTTTTATTGTTTTGGCCAAGTTATACAACCTAATAACTATATGAGTATATAAAATACCGGTACTTGTTTGTTAACGCCCCGCCAGTACGCCGCATAAAATTTATCGCCCCGCCACTCTTGTTTGTTATCGCTCCGCCATATAGTGTGCCGTTATTATACCTACAATTATCGTATTTAGCTCGTGGTGGATGATCTATTTTGGGAAATGGAAAAACTATTGTACATTTTATATTAAACCATATTAGTACGCTGCTGGCTTTTTTTTGGAAATTTTTTGGAATCATATTTAGCAGAATTTATGTGGAGAACACGTCTCGGAAAACAAGACGCATTTGAAACCATTTTAAAAGATATATCCGAGTTCTGGCCTCCACTATAATTATAATTATATTATTTATTTACTAATCCATTTATACATATTTTTTTAAATTTATAAACATATATTTATTCATTTATTTTTAAATTTTTTATTATTAATAATACATAAATTACATATTTTATATTTATTTATTATTTTGTTTATTTTATTTAATTGGCGGGGCGATAACAAACAAGAGTGGCGGGGCGATAAATTTTATGCGGCGCACTGGCGGGGCGTTAACAAACAAGTACCAAAATACCATTTATTTTAGTATAAATCAAGCAGCAATTTAAGACAACTTTTGTTACTACACATGGCTTAGACATCAAACAACCTCTCTACAATATTTTATCCCTTCAATGATATATCTGTTACGGGAAAGTATACTATTGGGCAATGTATACTTTGCTCAGTGTTTTTGGGCAATATATTAAAAATACTATTTTTGTCATGTAGGGTTGTGCTTTGGCCGGTCCAAGTTACTTTGCCCGTACTTAATTAGGTATTGTAACTTAAGCTATGAATAAAACTTTCTATTTGAATATATATATTTTTTAAATGTGTTAAACAGTTAGGGAAGAGTAGGATAGGTACTATGTTACAGTAAAATTGGCATATATTATATTTTTGAAATTATATACGCACTTTTAGATTTTTATTTTATAAAGTAATTGGTGTGAGAGTATAGAAGCAATATTTGGATGTAGTGCAAAAATTGGATTACAATTATCAGTACGTCCTATATTAATAATTAATAAATTAAAAACTAAAGGAAATTTAGAAGTGGCTATAACATCTATGAATACTGAAAATCATTATTAGGTTGATGAAACATTGATTAAAGGAAAAATAGATAATAAAATAAATAAAATAACTGCTGTAAGAATAGAGTAGGTTGTAAATTTAATAATTCAAGCGAATTGATTTTCATTGTCCAACCTGACTAAGACAATTCTATACAGTCTACTCAAAGTATAATTTTGCCTACATTGCTCATTGTAATTGTGCAGTACCATAATGTCTGGGAAATATTTACATTGTCCGATAGTCTACTTTACCCGTAACATATCTACATATACCAGTAGGAATTATCTTATTATCGATAGAAATACATTATATACCATTTCTACTGTTATTATTTAATTATATTTATACTTTAAAAATAATAAAAATATAATGATCGGACATGTTATTAAAACAAGTTTGGCTGATTTATAGTTGTCAATGTAATAACAATTGTAATTTATTACAAGTTTTTATTGTTGGAAAATGTTATTATTAAACAATTAAGTCATAAGAATTGACATAAAAATGTTTCAATAATATTATTAATATTATTAATTAATATTATTAATCAATATTATTAATATTGTTAATTTTAAATTTATTATTCAAATAATAATTCTTATAAAAAGCAATTTATTAATTTTTTTTAATAATCAACTACTATGGACAATAGGTATTAACAAGTTTTGAATATAACTATAGATAAGTAAAATAATATTTTTACTTAGAAGTCATGTTAAAGTTTAAAATATCGATCAGTAGATTGAACCAATTAATATTGTCAACTGTATTAAATAGTAGTTTATACTTCTAATGACTATTTAATTATTATTAGTTTTTTAGTTAATTTAATTTAGAAATGTATTAAGTACACTTATTAAAAAAGTTTCTACCAGTTTCATTTAGATTTATGTATATTGTATATCCATGCAAAATTGGATTAAATAGTAATGATATTTTTATTTTTCAGATAATTTTCAAACATCTGAGGAAAGTATAACAGCTAATGGAAAAAATGAAAGTAATAACATTTTAGTATGTGCAACTAATGATGATGAAATAAAAGAAGATATCAATTTAAGTGTTGATGATGGAAATATAAAAAAATCTAATCGAGAAAGTATGATTATCTATATATTTTAATAGTTCATTTTTTATATTTTAAACTTGACTTTATCTGTAGGTTATCTAGTGTAAGTATAGGAATAAATGATAAGCAATGGAGTATTGATGTATCTAGGATTTTTTTTTTTTTTGGTGGGAAAGTCGGTTGAAAAAAATATAAAAAATTAAATTGTTTTGAATTGTTTGTTTTATTATAATAATACATTTCACACTACTTTTTTATAATTTTTTATGATTATAGTAGTAGTTTAAATTTAAATTTTATTATTTTTAAAATTATAAATAAATATTTATTTTTATCCTTTGGCATATTTATCTTATCTTTGGTTCTTTGCTTGTTTTACTGATAGTTTTAAATAAGTAATAAAATACTAATACAAATCATTATATTACAGCAATTATTTTGTGATTAGTGTAATCACTAAAGACTACATTAATATTTCAATATCAAAAAAATAAAAATGTCATACTATACTTGAATTAAAAGTACCAATCTGAATAAAAAATAATAATAAAAAAAAAAATTACAGTTCTTAAATAACTGATTTTGTTATAAAAATAACTTAATTATTTAATTATAAAAATTAAATGAATTAATAACATACATTTTTATTTCAGAACATAAAAATTGTTTACCTGAATTAAATGTATCTAAATCGGAAAAGTATGATGAGGATATATCTTCAGTGTCAGACAAAGTAAAACCAAAAATATGTTTCTCATCAATAGAAACTATTAATACTAAAAATAGCACACTGATAAATAAAAAAGATATTGCTATAAAACCTTTACAAAAAATCCATCCTAAAATTTGTATTAATTCTGATGTATCAAAACAAAGTATTATCAATGTTAATGAAACAGTTGATGGTAAAAGAAAAAGACCTCGAATATCTATAAACAGTGACAATGAAGATGAGAAAACTGGCATGTCTAAGCTTCCTATTACTATTAATGAAACAACCAAACATATTGAAAAAGAATTACCAAAAAAAATTAACAAAAAAACCATGTCTCAAGTTATAGTTGTTAACACTCAATCTAAAGTAAATTTTACAATATATTTTATATATTGTGAATTGTAATTATAATATAAATTATTAAAAACCATTTTATAATTTTGTATTTTTTTTTCAATTTTTATGTAGAATAATTTCAATGAAACTAGAAAGAAGCTAAATATGCATGATTTGATTGTCCAACGAGTTGATCATCAGCGTGGTGCTTTGGCTTTAGATACTGCATTCAAGTATATTCAACAACAAATTGGTGCAACAGAAAAAGAAATTGCTGTTATAAAAAAATGGAGGGATTATGCTGTAGATATGTTACGCTCCAGCAAGAATCAATAATGATTTTCTATCAAATGTATTTTTTCAATGATAAATTATTTTCTCATTAAAAATGATTCCTTCCAAAGTTAGTTCAAAAACACCCATTTAGATTTTGAAATAAGTTGATTCGCTTTTTTACTGTTCCCAAAATGAAGTAAAAGCTTCTTAAAAAAACTAAAATATTATGGCTAATCAATTCCACAATTATTTGGTTAAAAGTGTACAATGTATTGAATATTTATTTTAAGTTAAGATCAGCAAGTATTATAATATACGAGGTCTGTTCAAAAAGTTCCCGAATTTTTCAATTTTTTATTTATGGTGCTTACTTACAAGCTATTGAGACTTATCACCCTCGAAGTATTCTCCCTCTTGGTTAATACACTTTTGCCAACGACGTTTCCATTGTTGAAAGCAATCCTTGAAAGCGGTTTCTGGAATTGCTCGTAACTCTGTTAGCGAATTTTCTTTTATTTCGTCTATCGTAGAAAATCTTAGTCCTTTTAACGGATATTTTAGTTTTGGAAATAAAAAAAAGTCTGCTGGTGCCAAATCGGGAGAATATGGTGGATGAGGAAGCACGGTCATGTGATTTTTCACGCAAAAATCACGAATTAACAGGGAAGTGTGAGCCGGAGCATTGTCGTGATGAAGAAACCATGAGTTTTTTTTCCACACTTCAGGCCTTTTCCTCCGCACTTTTTCTCGAAGACGTTTTAATACTTCTAGATAGTACCATCGGTTAACAGTTTGTCCTGCAGGTAGAAATTCGTGATGAATAACTCCTACGTTGTCGAAAAAAACTGTTAACATGACTTTGACGTTTGATCTAACCTGACGAGCTTTTTTTGGTCTTGGAGAAAATTTACCAACCCACTGTGATGATTGGACTTTTGTCTCAACATCATAGCCATAGACCCATGTCTCATCACCCGTTATAATTTGCTTCATGAACATGTCATCATCGTTAGCGCGATCTAACAATTCTTGACAGATTGTTACGCGGTTGTCTTTTTGATCTTGCGACATCAACCGAGGGACAAATTTTGCTGCAACACGGTGCATTCCAAGTTTTTCGACCAGGATTTCATGACATGAACCAACCGATATGTTACAATCTTCCGCGATTTCTCGAATAGTTAAACGTCTATTAGACCGCACAATTTCATTGACTTTTGTCACATGAGCATCGTCTGTCGATGTCGACGGACGTCCTGAACGTGGGTCGTCATCAACTGATTCCCGACCGTCTTTAAAGCGTTTAAACCAGTCGTAACACTGTGTACGTCCTAAACACTGATCACCATAAGCATTTTGCAACATTTTGTGAGTCTCAGTAAAAGATTTACAAAGTTTAACACAAAATTTAATATTAATACGTTGTTCGTGAAAATTACTCATCTTAAAAATCGCACAATACACACGACTCGTCTACTTTGAACGCGCACAGTTGATGATTCGATAGCAATAAACATTTGGGATTTAATTGAAAAGATAGCTGCTTATCTCTATTTTATTTTGATATAATAACATTTACAATAATGTAATTTTTCTATTTTTAGAAACGATAGTTCGGGAACTTTTTGAACAGACCTCGTATTGTTAGATTATGTTGTATTTCAGTTTATCTATAGACTATAATCCTCAGTAAATAATTAATGACTTTATATTAAAAAAAAAAAGACTGAAATCTGAAAATAATATTTTTTTAAAGTTGGATGTTTATGTTCATTTTATGCACGCATATAGTATTAGGATTGTAATTGTTCATAGTTAATTAATTTGTAAAACATGAATAATAATAATGAAAAAGGTATAAATAAGACACCATGCTTAGTTGTATAACAATAATTAAAGCTATATCTTTGATTTTTTTTTTTTAATATTAATGAAGAGCTAAAGTTAATGTAATTGTATGATTAAAACTGTATAAAATGTCCACAATTTATTGTAATGTATTATTTTGCCTTTTCACTACCTATGTTATATTTTTTTATAAAATGGTTTGAGTTAAATTTAAATATTCTTTCCATGTGCATTAATTAGTCACTGTGGTCTGTGCTCAGTGGTATAAAACATGTTTATTTATAGAATACAATATATTATAGTCCGCAGCGATACGGTACGGCGGCGTAACGACAAACTGTTCTGGATCTACATTACATGTTCATATATTATTTGAAGTATATTTAACTTGGTATCTATATGTTAAATTATCAAAACCGCAGAAAAATATATTTACTGGGATTAAAATATTTTTCAAAAGGCTAAATAAAATTCCATTATATTTTTATTTCAACAGGTGTTCGACAGCATTTTTGAGCTTCTAATATTTAACCCAACAAATTATTTATCTAGGATAAATATTGTGATATAATCAGGGATGGGAAAGATACTCAAAAATCAGTATTGCGATACTAGATACTTGATACAATTATTGTATCTAAGATACGTATCTTGGATACTTGTATCGAAGATACTGCTCAACCTTGGATACTTTTAAATAATATAAGGCCTATGACACTGTGATCGATCTAATCATATGATTGACGATTGTGGCCTCGAACGCGGTAGTAGGTAATAAACTCCGGTAAACAAGCGGTTACGATACGATTGTGAATGCCTTACCTTTTTTGGGGTACGACAGAGAACACTCGAAATGGCCGACCCCAAAACAATAGTACTATTAAGAACGAAATCCCGTGAAACGTTGCCATTAAGTGGAATGTATGTATTTTATATTATGATATTAAAAATTTAAAAGTTCAAACCAAAACTCATTTATAAATTATTATACGAAGTTATACTAAAATTAAAGTAATTAGTTATACTACTGTCTACTAGTATATAGATAAGAACAATGAGATATATTTTAATCTCCCTTTATTGATTTTCGACAAAATTAAATATTTTTTTAGTCTTTCTGAACATCTAAGCATTTATTTTGACAGTATCTACTACCTATATGATTGTATTGTTTTTGAAATTTTTTCTTGTTTAACTTTTGATACGTTTTGTGTACCTAGTACTCTTTTGAATTGTATTGAGTTTTAATGTTTCTGTCCGAGTTTCTAGTAATGTTTGTAGTACCGTGTATAAGAACTAAGGAGGTCGATGCGTGTAATAAAACCGGCTGTTAAAAGTTCGATAAAAACGTTCTGCGACATTGGAAGTTCTAAAAAGAAATTGAGTAAAATACATTTTCGAAATTTTTAAAATTTTATTAATAATTTACCTGGAATGTTTGATGGTTTTTCTGCTCATATACCTGTAAGAAATAAACAATCTGAATAAAGATATGTTTTTAAATTATAATAATCTGCAAAACTATGATCATTTATTTCATTTGGACATAACGTCATTAGTTCTGTAAAATCGTCTTCCGCTACCACTTCTAAATGGTGCAGAAATGAGGAGTACAAAAAAATTTTTCAACCAATTACCGAATTTTCTTATCTTTGTGTGTATTTTTCAAAATTTTGTTTTCATTAAACTAAAATTAAATTATTGTTAAAAAAAAAAAAACATTTACATTTATTTAATATAATATCTTACTTTATGTCATCAAGATTGACCTAAATAAAAACGGCACTTAAAAATAATATTGGGAAATGTTTATGTGCGCCGATTTTAAAATCGAAATTCAGTATTTGATTTTTAAAACTTTAGACGTAGTTATTATAGGCATAAATTCTTTAGAAAGTTCCTCTTGTCGATACAAGTTTTTTGTTTTATATTCTATGAAAAAGAAAACTAGTGGAATATAGAATCCATTATGATAACAATGTATGGTAGGTACACATTTATAAAAAGAAAATTGGTACCTATATAATCAAAAATTTTATCAGCCAAAAAAGTTGTGCAATTGACCATAAAATATAGATTTTCTTTAGTCGTAATACAAATTAAATGTTTTTTGCCGGATACATAAATAAATTGTTGACCTTGATATTTAAAAACATCATCATTTTTCTTATTTTGAAGTTCAGTAACAGCCTTAATGAGAGTCTTGGGTAAGTAGGATATATTTTTATTTTTTCACAGTAAATTGCTTTTCGAACAAATTAAGAACTGAAGTGTTAATATCTTTTATAAGTTTTGTTAGAATTATTTTTTGTGGTTTGGTTGAAACTAATTCTGAAGCTTTTCTTTTACAAATTTTCCGTAACACCCGAGTTCAATTTTGAGCGGTTATCGTAGAATGACTGCTCGCCTAAAACTTTTTTAATACCTAGCAATCATATTTGTACCCTAATTTTTCCCTTCCATTATTAAACTCGCTGCGCATTTATTGTTAGTGCATGTTTACTTCTCAAGACTATTTTTTCTCTGTCTAATAAATCTGTATTTGTGGGATTTTAAAGTACCTACTTAGTTCAATTTTCATCACGTTCGAAGGATATAAGTCTTACGCCTTGATTATTTTTGATTTTATTAAAATATTTCGTCTATTCAATGTATAATATAGGAAACTACATACTGACTACTGAATGTCTGAGTAATAAGTAGGTATATTTCGATTATTATTATTGAAAGTTAATTTTTGCTGATTTTTTTTGGTTCAATTGGCATAAGTTAGTGACGAATATTACTCATATTATTAAAGGAATAAATAGAGCATAGGTACCTAAATATAATTGTTTTTACATTTGGTAGAAAATGCGTATAATGATAGTGATGACTTAAGCCATTTATAAAATTTTATTGCTCAGATACATATGGCTAAATATGACTTATGCCTTTTGTAGTGTAATTAAATTTCTTGTAAAAATGGCTTAAGGCAATGATAAAAGTTATAAATATTTTTATCTTTACCTACAACTATACAATTAATAAATTAATATACTATAATTATTGGTTTTTATTTAAAAATTTAAAAATATCGCTTTATATTTTCCAAATTTTATCTATGGCTTCGTCAAGAGATTTTGGATACATAGGAATATTTTTCCGCCTTTTCAAATAGGTGCAAATATTTTTGGACAAAAAAAATATCCTTATGTATAATACCTGTACTTCAATTTTTTAGTAATTCTTTTCG